TGGAGCCTACAAGCAAAAGACTTGTTTGGCACGCGCAAACAGGTTTGGGCTTCATGCAAGTTATGTTTGTGATTGGCGAAGAGGGGGTTATTGTGAGCAAACACAGCAGCGTACACCTGTGTTCTATCTTATCGTCCGTCTAGGCAATTAATATATGATCCGAATTTTATAAAAAAATTCAAAAAAGAGTTCTTTTAAAATTTTGACCGTACAAAAGACTTATGCACGGTGAAATTGAGCGCTGCTGTGTTTTGTTCACAGCAGCAGCCCCGCTTCCTGTGATTGGAGGGTGGTTCTGATCATCAGATTTTGAACGTGAAATCTTTTGGTATAACGGTAATATCATTGTACAATATTATTTTCTAAATTAGAAAATTTAATTGGAATTAGTCCCGCAACACAGGACGTGTCTTCCCATCTGTCAAGTAGCCAACCCAACCCATGCCCCAGCACAGTTCTGTCTATGCCTTTCATTAACCCAAAATAGCGATTGGCAGCATTCATTGTATATATAACTTGTTAGGAAAATGATGAGCTTGATGGACCATTTATAGATTAATTTATGAACAAATCGGTGTTCAAGAAAAATTGGACTGACATTATATGATTTGGAACCTTTTTTTTTTGGCCAAAGTTTAGAAGAGGTTCCATCGCCAGGAAAAATACCCAGTATATCAACTACCTTAACAAGAGGATCTAGAAGTCAGGGGGGAGAAAATTCCAACTTACAAATTCCATTCTCTCTCGCAGCACTCTTGACCACACAATGAGCCACAGAGTTACAACACTTCTTACAAAATTCGGTGGAATGAGGGTTATCGTTTCCTTTTCGTTTGGAGCTCTTTTTTCCTTGTGGGTCCTGGCGGGAGTAATTGGCTTCGGTGTTTAAAATTTCTGGCTTTTTGGTGGCTTGTGGGTGGTATTTAGGTTCCGGCAGTGTTGTTGTTGTAGGGTCTATTTTTGTTTTGGTCTTTAGGCTCGCTTGGTATTTGCTTGTTTTCAGGTCGGTTTGCTTTGGATTTTTTGTGTTCAGCTGGCATCTTGCCTTCTTTGCCGTTGTTCTTCAGTGGTCTCGGGTGGTTTTTTCCGGTGTGCCCTTGTTCCGTTTAATCTTTGTAATCATTTATAAAAATTAATTAAATCTTTTTGCTGTTGCAAAAAAAATAAAATAAAAACACCAAGTTCGTCAAACAAAGAAAACAAAGGGTGAGAAAGTCCCACAAAGGGAGAAAGACACCGGCAACAAATGATATCGCAGGAGCCGTCGCGTCAGATTTGACAACTTATCCGCCGGAGGAGCAAAAACCAAGGCATCCCTTCTCCATATCTACACCAGATCAAACCCTAACTTGACCAGAGCCTCTGGAGGACGGGGGAGGAGGGGTGGAGGCGGAGGGTACGTGGAGGGAGAAAGCAGAGAATGGAGGGGAAAGGCATAGCGTGGAGGTGGAGAGAAGGTGGAGATCGAAGGGGCTAGGAGATGAAGGTGAGGGAGGTTGGAGGAAGAAGGGAGCGAAGGTGGTGGAGGCGGCGGTAGCCCTCCAAAGAAAGCCCTAACTAGAGAAAAGTTCTAGAAAGAGAAATAGAGAGAGAACTTGGAGGTAAAACTATGATTCGATTTTGTACGTAAAACTATCGATGTACAATCGATTTAGCCTTTTACGAAGATGATCAACTTAAGAAGCCTTACAAAATGAATGATTGCATTCATTCTCTTAACCCAGAGGGGTCTTTAATGGACACTAAGTGATTAGACGTTGAGAGCTTCATTTGAGTACATGTAAATAAGAATCAATCAAAGCGGATCCCAAATGGGAGCGGGGGGCCTGTGTTGACCCAATTCACAATAAGGGTGTAGTGACCCTAAACTATGCCGTTTTGCTATCCACTCCCCGTCCACCATTTCATGCTTTAAAGTCATGTTTGGTACTCATTAAATAGGTAAGAAATTAATGATTTTTTTAAAAAATTTTTGTGGAACACATTGCGTGTCCTACAAAGATGATTCAAATCGCAAGTTATTTTTAAAATATTTTTATGAGTTCCAAAAAAAAATTAGCTCAATCTGATATTAGTAAGGGCTATTTCAGAATTTGGGTGCCCTATGAATTCTGAAACACCCAACAAAGATGATTGCAATCACTGAGTGATTGGATGTTGGAAGCTTCATTTGAGTACATGTAAATAAGAAATCAATCAAAGCAGATTCCGAACGGGAGCGGGGGCCTGTGGTGACCCGACACCATAAGGGTGTAGTGACCCAAAACTATGCCGTTTTACTGTCCACTCTTGGCACTTTCCACCCTTTCATGCTTTAAAGTCATGTTTGGTACTCATTAAATGAGGAAAAATTAATAATTTTTATTTTTATTTTTTGGGAATCCATTACACATCCTGCAAAAATGATTCAAACTGTAAGTTATTTTAAAAATAATTTTTTTATGAGTTCTTAAAAAATTAGCTCAATTCAATATTGGTAAGTGCTGTTTCAGAATTTGTAGGACACCTTACGAATTTTGAAACACCCTACAAAAATGATTGCTATCACAAAGGGATTGGACGTTGGGAGCTTCATCTTTAGTACATGTAAACAAGAAATCAATCAAAGCGGATCCCAAACGTCCTTTTTGAAATTAAAAAAAAAACCCTTATAGCTGCAGTATATATATACTTATATAGTTCTAGAGCGGCTTGAATCATCAAATTTCGATCAGAAAACGGGAGGTGCGGACGGGTGAGGACGGAAAGGGGTGGGAACTTGATCTGGACTGTGTGTGTAAAACAAGGCGCATCTACCAAATTTTATTTGGACTTCATAAATTGCTGATAATTTGATACTGCTACGTATATACACTAATAAATTGTTCAGGAAAGGTACACATAACTGATTGACAGTTTAGGTGTTTCGTTCCTTTTCTTTCTTCAATTAAACTATAGCTGCTCCTATTTTGGAACTTTTACAATTCCAGCTTTAACAAAACAACCTGTATGATTAATGCACTTTCATGTTGGGCCTGAAAGTAACAGTTAATATACATATTGTCAATAAAAATATGAGAGTTCATATTGTCTGTGTAAAAACATGATAGTATTAGGATATAAGTGCCAACCTCGTTGGGATGTATGTTTCCAGTAGTGATGCATTCTTACTCTTTCCCTTGATCCATGTACCCTTTCGAGTTTTGAATAAAATTTCTCTTTTGCCGACCAAAAAAAAAAAAAAAAAAAGAGAGAGTTGTCAAAAAGATAATCATTTGGCCTAAGTTCTTGGTGAGCAAAAGTCCTGCTATGATTGGTTACTTCAATGCTAATCAATCCTCAAAATAGTTCCTCGATTGGAAAATCAATTTGTCTTATGTTTTCCTAAAAGTAGTAGTTCATATGTGATGTAACTTAGTGATTTTTTGATAGGCTACTAACTTAGTGATTGGCGGATAGTGTTGGGAATGATTATTAGTTTTCTGTTACAACTTGAAAATTTTAATTCGTAAAATCTTTTGATGTAATTTTATGCCTTTGTTACATTGATTAAAAAAATTTCTTTCTGTTGCTCAAACAAAAATAATGTCGCTCTTACGTCTACTATTTCCTTAACTTTGAATTAGTCGATTGAGAATTTCAAAAAACTAACCAAGGGAAAATAGTTCTATGTGTTTAGTTATTTTTGACATTCAGATATCACTTTCTAGGCAAAAATAGAGAAAAAAGATACTCTCTCTGTCCGGATTTAATAGACTCGTGTTCAATTCTAACTGGATAAAAATGAGTTATATCTTTAAATTGGTATTGAATTTTATATCCAATATGTATATTGTTTGATAGATCTTAATTAGTTCTATAAGACAATGTTTTCAAAATTACATAGAACATTATAAATTACAAGATATAATCGATTGAAAAATTACACGAACTCCCAAAAAGAACTATTAAATCTGGATGGAGGGAGTAAAAGTCAATGAAGTCCTTAGCGTAGTCAGTTCGGGACGTTTTTCGATATCTTATCTTTCTTTATGGTAAGTAAATTTAGAAGTTAAGCAACCGGAAGTGAAGATGAGAACTTAAACCCATCTTATCAAGCCTAGGAAGAAAAACTGAAAACTAAGCAACATAACCGGTATGGTAATTATGAGCTTCATTGAAAAGTGCAGAACAACAGCAACTGGCAAGGCCTTTTGCATATACATTGCACGCCCTTGTTTTTTTTTTTTTTTTTCCAAATGGAAATACCTATAAATTAAATTAGAAAGCCAGAGTCATAAAAACTAAGTATCATATTACAAACACGCCTAAAAAAAAGGAAAACAAGAACCAAACTTAGGTTCTAAGATGTCCAACATTTCAAGCCCTTGTTTGCTCCAAAAAATTACTCAATACATTCTCCCGAACCATTGATGCATGTACACATGGCACTGCTCAGCCACGTGAAAAAATAATTTATTCCTCTTCTACAACTCCACGCACTTAAACAAACGCTTTCCACCCTCATATTCATGAGGATCCACACACATGCACTAGTTTAGGCTATCTCTTATAGTAATAGAGATAAGGGAGCTTCAGTCATAATCAGAAGAGAGTTATTTTGTTCTGCCGTACATGCATGTGTGTTATTTTAGAAAAATTTAGGGGTCCCCTTAAAAATATGTTTTAAACAAATTGAACAGCTTTGATTATTAGCATGAGGCTCTGAATTATGAGGTTCACACCTAAGGTCCGCATTTAAGGTCCTTACCGATATAGAACTAAACTTTATAAGAGTACAAAAAGTACAAAATTATATATCTGAAAAAATTTGATGTTTCATGTACATATATTTGATCTTTAGCAATATTTTTTTAAGTTTTTGACATTGTTATTTTATTGTTTAGATTCTTCTCGTCGGCTTGAATAATTACGATTTTTTTTTAAATTAAAAGAAATAAATTCTCGCCAAAGACAAAAATCTAACTTAGAAATTAAGTTAGGGTAAATGGCCCTTAGAATCAATAGATCAACACAAATAAGGGTCTATAGCTTAGGGGTAGAGCATTTGACTGCAGATCAAGAAGAGGTCATCGGTTCAAACCTGGTTGGGCCCTTCTATGCACTTATATTTAAGTGCATTTTATTTTATGTTTTCGTTTCCTCAAAAAAAAGAAAAAGAAAAAAGAAGAATATAAACATGTCGAATTGGTGCTCCGAAAGAACTTTCTTCAATACTTGGTAATTAGAAAAATGAAATTGACAATGAAAATGTAAATTCAAAGCAACTTATATCTATACTATATTTTGAAGTTGATTTGTGAGTGATTCGTGGGTAGTGTCGGACATTTTCCTGTAAACAACAGATTGAATACACCCATCATTATTAAAAGCTAACCAGATGTAGATATCACACATTTGCATATCTGCAATGGAATTCTTAATTTTATGATCCCATTGAGCTAAATAATTCTTGCGTAGGTGTAGAATTATATACTCCGTATTTGCCACAGCCACGCCCATGAATAACTGTCTCCTTTATTTCTCCTCACTGTACGAGGACACGTGGCGGTTCAGGATCACGTTTGACCTTTAGTAACATGAGCACATGTATATAAGCCTAGCGAAGCGTTTGACGTCGGTAACTTCTTCTTCCTTTTCCTTCCGACTATCAAATATTAATCCTAATTTTTTTTTTCTATTGATATACTGATTTGCTCGTTGGAGGGTCACTGAAGACACCAACTCCTGCGTATTTGAGGCGTTGATCTTACTGCCTCTTTTTTTCTCAAGAAACTTGTTCTTAGATCAAATTTGGACATCATCAGAAATCAATAGCACATATGATACCCTTTTTCCTAAGCAAAGAGAAAGTTTATTAATTTAAGAGAGAACATACAAGGATTAAACAGATTATGGGAGACCACATCACTACCTTGAGCATAAATCCCAAGTATGTTTAGGTTGGCACCTAAACATGTGTAATATTTGAATTCAAATATTACTACTTACCCGCTATAGTCGCTTGGTAAGACAAAACATATGGGTTAGCACATAGCGGTTGAAACCCGAGCTTCGGCCCCAGTACATTCAAGGTGAGATGCCCTACGCATAATTAACTATGCGGTTTTGAGGGAAATACTCCCTGACGGGTAAATGAAATACGCGCACAACTAATTATATGCATATCTGTTTTATTGCCAAAAGGGAAAATTTCACGTAGGCACCCGACCTTTCACACAAATCACACATAAACACCTGACCTTTCTTAAATTTCATATAAACACCTGAACTTTCTAAAAACTCATCAATTCAACACCTGACCTTTATTAAATTTCATATAAACACCTGAACTTTCTAAAAACTTATCAATTTAACACCCGAACTTTATTAAATTTCATATAAACACCTGAGCTTTCTAAAAACTCATCAATTCAACATCTGCCATCATCATTTCGTCTAAAACCAAACAGAAAAAAAATTAAGTGCTTCGATTTTTTATTTGTTTGAAACAGTGCTAAGATCTTATTTTTCTGATTATTTTATCCTAAAGAATCATAATTAATTTTTGACTCTAAAGCTCTCATTAGTTAGCATTAAGAAAGACGTATAATCAAATATCTCTTAGGGCTAACTAACGAAAGCCTTAGAATCAAAAATTAATTATGATTCTTTAGAATAAAATGATCAGAAAAATAAGATCTTCGCACTGGTTTAAACGGATTGAAAATTGGAGTAATTAATTTTTCAACCATGTATAGATCATTTATATATTAAAAATATATGGTTAAAAAAATTAAGTGCTCCAATTTTCAATTTGTTTAAACCGGTGTGAAGATCTTATTTTTCTAATTATTTTATCTTAAAAAATCATAATTAATTTTTGACTCTAAAACTCTCGTTAGTCAGTCCTAAGAATGTCGTAGAATCAAATATTTCTTAGGGTCAACTAACGAGAGCCAAATAAAATGATCAAAGAAATAAGATCTTCATATCGGTTTAAACGAATTGAAAATTAGAGTAATTAATTTTTCAACCATGTATAGATCGTTTATATATTAAAAAATATGGTTAAAAAATTAATTGCTCTAATTTTCAATCCGTTTAAACCGGTGCAAAAATCTTATTTCTCTGGTCATTTTATCCTAAAAAAACATAATTAATTTTTGTTTCGTTAGTTAGCCTTAAGAGATATTTGATTCTATGACTTTCTTAAGGCAGACTAACAAGAGCTTTAGAGTAAAAAATTAATTATAATTCTTTAAATAAAATGATCAGAAAAAAAAGATCTTCGCACTGGTTCAAACAAATAAAAAATTGGAGCACTTAACTTTTTTCCTGTTTGGTTTTAGACGAAATGGTGATGGTAGATGTTGAATTGATGAGTTTTTAGAAAGCTCAGGTGTTTATATGAAATTTAATAAAGGTCAGGTGTTAAATTGATGAGTTTTTAGAAAGTTCAGGTGTTTATATGAAATTTAATAAAGGTCAGGTGTTGAATTGATGAATTTTTAGAAAGTTCAGGTGTTTATATGAAATTTAAGAAAGGTCAGGTGCTTATGTGTGATTTGTGTGAAAGGTCGGGTGCCTACATGAAATTTTCCCTTGCGAAAAAGAAAATGCTAGAACCTACACCCGATAAGCCATCTCCCCAGCCAAGACATGAGCAACACAACACTGAATGTGTTTCTCCTAGTCCTAGCTAACACATAAATTAGTTGGGGTCCGGTCCGTTTGGATTCTCTACTATCTAGGTCTTGATTGGTTCTCATCTGGCGATTTTGCCGGTCTTGCTTCTGCAGGGGGTGCCTATGTCGAAGTCTGGATAGTTTTGGCTCATTCTTATATTTTTTGATGAAATTTGTATTGTTTTCGGATATTTGTTATGAATGAATTGAATGTGTTAAAAAAAAAATTAGATTAGTCATTTCATATACGACTTTGGAGTTAATTGAGTAAAATATTGAAAAACTATCATTAATGCATTTAATTAGTGGAGTTTGTTTGATATTAATTCAACTAATGATTGCCGGCCCTTCGGCCGGAGGATCAGTAAGAGGAATTTAAAGTGGGGTCACTTAATTCTAGTGAGTTAAAATTAAGAATTGATTAGAATATCTATAACTAATGCTATTAGATTTTCAGGCAATTGACCTTACACATATATAAAGATACCTTAGAAATCTTATTTTTAAAAGGAGAAAATTTCTTTTATATCCCTTCGATTTTGACTAAAAATTCATTTTGGTCCTTCACTTTTCAATTTCAGCATAAAAATACTTCGACTTTTCAATTTTTTTTAATGTCATCCTTTAGGGATATATATATATATATACACACAAAAAAATAAGGTGTTTGGATCAAGCACCCTACATACATCGGATGCCGTTGATTTCCGCGAAGGCCCTCTCGTTTTTTTTATAGAATTTTTGGACGGCTTGGATTGGCCGTCTAGTGGTCGGAGACGGCCCGACGCGGCCGTTGGTCGCTATAGCAGGACTCAAAGAAAACGGATTCCTTCTAAAGGATGACATTGAAAAAAATTGGAAAGCCGAAGTATTTTTATGCCGAAATTGAAAGATGAATGATCAAAATAAATTTTTGGTCAAAGCCGAAGGGATATAAAATTTTTTTTCCCTTTTAAAAGTGAATTTCTACCATATCTCACGGCCAAACTCAGACCAAATTCGTAATAGCTCCGATTATTTGATTCCACAACTTACTAGTTTTAGCTCCGACGATGTACACAAAAAAAGAATTAATATTTTTTCAATGACACCGCGAAACCAACAAATTCGTGAAATGATCACCATAAGCCCCCACCAGTTGAAACTAGTTAAAATACCCGCAGGCTTGAAAATTAAATTTACACCATGAATAGGTAGGTCGCTTAATTACTATGATTCCAGTTCAAGTTTTGGCATCCGAAAACATGCACCCAGTAATTTAGTGACAACTGTCATGAGCATAAATTAAAGAAAATGAAGAGGGAGAATTGAAGCACACGACGAGGATCAACTGAATTTGGTTTTTGAAGTGATTCACACCTGCCAGAGAGTTTCTAGAAGGTACATCGGGCGAAATGCTACCCATAACCCATGGGCTGGACAGTACAACCCATAAAGCAGTAACCCATAGGCAATGACGGAGCCAAAATTTTAAGCTTGGGGGGCCGACTTAATAGACATATATTTTTTATCGGAACATATTCGATTTACAATACATTACATTTATACATTGAAATGATTATAGCCTATTGTAGTTATCGTATATCAATCATTTTGTTTTTTTTTTTCTTTTTCTTAGGTTACTTCAACTGTCACGTGCTTATCTTTATAAAAGAAATTGAGAAATAAGAATGAAATAACCAGTTTTTTTTTTTTTTATCAAATCAAACTAAAATTATTAAGATTATAAGTAATTACACACAAAAAATTATCAATAATATTCATATTCAGGTATATAGAAAATAAAAATTCAAAACTCGAACGCTCGAGAGTAGGAACCAGAGGGGTCAAGCTTCCTCTGGGCCCTAACATAGCTCCGCCCTTGCACCCATGCCCATAGCCCTTTTGAACACCCTATTCAAAATATTTGAACACGCAACCCACAAATTAATTCAATGTATACAACCAAGGTAATAGATAAATTTTTTTGTGCATATACTGTTGTGGTTTCTAGAAGCAATAGATATTTCTGAACACCATTCTTAAAATTTCTAGAGCCATCACTGGTCATGTCCATTTATCCAATGGTTGTCAAGCTATTAGTATTTGTGTGTGGGATAGAGAAGTCTAAGAAAGGAACAAATGCCAACTATCAAGAGGGGACCAATCTAAGGAGGCTTCACAACTCCAATATCCGAGAGGGGACCAATATGATTTTCAATTTTTTTTTGGAACGGCAAAAAAGGAATATTATTGATAGAGATAATGGAGTACAAAATCAATATGATTTTCATTCTCTTGGGGTTGGCATGCAGAGAAGAGAGAGGAGATGCATTTCTAGTGATAGATCGTCCTCTAATGTCATCCTTAAATTGGAAAGGAGAGTAAGAAGATTGACGGGGAAGATTATAAAGAAAAAACATATCGCGAAGATTGGTGTTAAAATCGAT